TCTGCTCTTACTGGTGCAATGTGCAATCAATGAAGACTGGCTACCAGGCTGGTCCAATTTAGCCATGAAACCTCCCACACTAAAATGACAGGTGTTTCAGTTTCATTGTCCAACCCCTGTAAATAAGGATACAGGAAATGTTGTCCTCCTGAAAAATATGCCCATGCAATGTTTATGCACTCAAAGTTGGCGAATTTATATGAATTACTGTATCAATGTGTTGTGTTAGTTAGCTGGACAATGCTTGCTGCTGCCCTTTTTCTACCACACTTTTTCCTTCCACTTAACTTTCCATTTATATACTTGGATACAGCAATGTGTGAACAGCCGGTGTCTTTAGGACAACAACTGTCTGAAGGACAATTTTGTAGATCATAACATGATTATAACATGTCTGTATTAACTTTTATTTAATTGATCTTAAGAAAAATCACAATTTTCTGAGAAATTGAATTGTAAATTTTACTTAGCTGTAAGCTACAATCCCTTGAAATAAACACAATAAATGTTTCACTATGTGTAATGAATCTATGTATGACTCTTTTTTAAAATTTAATTATTGTTGATTTTCTAATTTATTGAGATGTATCTGTAATATTCAAACTTTTGTCTCATAAACATTCCGACACATTAATTGAACTGTGAGTCCAGGAAGCGTTGTGGAACAGCAGCTTCCGCGCTTCACTCTGTAAGTAAGTGGGCCTGGGGTTACTTACCGTAAAACATTGCACCTCCGGCTTCATTTATGAGTCTGTATTTGAATTGCTTCAACTTCCATACGCTGAGAATTGTTATTAAGGCTAAACATACTGCGGACAGAACAAACAGTGCCGTACTATCTTTCCGTTCCCTCACAGTGTTTGACATCTTCGTGGATCTTTAGGCCAAACTCTTCTCTTCTCAGTTAACTGACAGACTTCGGAAAAAAAAAAAAACGCTGCAACATCCGCATCAGCAGCGTCCGTGATGCATTTCAGATAACTCGGAAATTTTTGTTTTCTCTTCAAGGGATAATAATAAACTGCTAAGAAGGGATAGTCTTAGATGATTTTTTTTTATATGGCTTACGTAGAAGAGAACCAACAACAATAAAACAGTGATAGGCTGGAAATATTTTACCTAACCTGGATGAGTCTAGAAATGAACCACGCGAAAAGTTGGACAATTGAAAACATGCTATTTTAAATTAGCATTAATTTGAGCTCTTAATTGTCTAACGAGCGTATCCTTTGCTCAAGTATTAATTAACCTTGTCGGTATTTATTTATTTTTTACATTTTTCATATCCCGTTTTGACTTTGTTTTAAGTTTGTGTAGTATAACGTTACATCTTTGGCAACGTTTATCTATGCATTTACCTATATATTTTTTGCTTGACTTTTAATTTGAATTGTAATTTAGTTACCTATATTTGTAGTTAAATAAGTTCACCCTTTGCATTCTTATTTATTTTATCGTATTTTTTATTTATTTTTTGCATAGCATGTAAATGTTTTTGCCAAGCAGGATTTGTGTTTGCAACCTTATTCATTTGAAAATACCACAAATTATGAGTCACGTTTTTCATTGTCCACCAGATGGCGCCTTAGACACGCTAATGCAGAACACGTCAGGAGAATCCTGCTGCTCATTGGTCCTGTAGGATAAACAAGTGTTAGGCTGTGCTTGTAGTATTGTGCTTGCATTAATATTAATTTTGTAAATATACATATTTGCATTAGGTAAAATTATTCCCAAATTCGTTCAAAATAAGTTTTTTTTACTTGTAGTTTCCTTATCACAACCTAGTATTAAAAAACGTTTCATTTTGTTGAAGATTTTAACTTTTTGTTTTTAAACATAAAGACAAAATAAAATCAATTTTAACTTTCTGCTCATCCGTTTTTGACCTGCCAAATAGTAAATTAAATTGTGTTTCAGTTGAATATTTTATTATATATTAATACAAAACAAAAAGCTATTTTCTTTCTTTATTTATTGTAGATTTTGATAAGAAAATCTAGACAAAAATTTGCATGGTTAATTTAAGTATCGCCTTTATTAATTTCAGTTGTTAGTGAATAGCTATGGCTCTGTAGATTGGGCTTTATGCAGCTCAGGTGTTCCCATAGTTTGGATCAGGACATAAAAACTTGAAGTAGAAGCCCACAATAAATTCTGTCAATTACAAAGGTGAAGGCTTATAGCTAAAATGTTCCATATTCATAATCATCTTTATTGGTCATTGCACATGTACATTACAACGAAATTTGTCCTCTGCATTTAACCCATCCCTTATAGGGAGCAGTGGGCTGCCATTGTGCAGCGCCCGGGGAGCATTCTGGGGCTAAGGGTCTTGCTCAGGGAGCCAGAGTGGCAATCTGTGGGATATGAACCTGGCCCCTTGTGTCCCCTCTGGAACGCAAACCTCCTGTTCTAACCACTAGGCCACCACTCCAGCAATTATTATTAGCCAAAAAGAGACAGAGAAACAAAACAAAAAAAAAAAGATATTCTGTGAGCCTCTACACTTGTATTTGCACTGGCAAAGCAAATGCTTCATCCCCACTGCTTACATTCGAGGGGATGAGTACGTTTGACTTAACAGATCCAGTCATTTTTTAAATGCTTGTCCAAACTTATTAAAAGTTTACATATGTGGTTAATTTACATATTCTTTTTTTTACCTATACATATTTTTTGGTAGTAAACAAGAATTTGGGACTTTAGTATTTTAAAACCACCTTTTTGTTTTCATTTCTGGGTTCTTATGAGAACATCCAACATGGACTCTTACAGCAGTAGATGCTGGTGTTTGCACTTTTCACATATTCTGTTGTTTGATAAAGCCTCAGCACTGTCTTAAACATATCACCTAATGTTATGGTAACCGCAAAATAAAGGTTGGTTTTATAAAGTTACAGTTTGCTACTGAGAATAACAAAAAAAAAAAGAGAAAATTATGCACCGGGGCGGCGTTCCAGACTCGATAAAATATATTAAAATCGTCGCTTAGCAACCACTGTCGCAAAGCGACGTCGGACGTCGTAACGCATATAGAGGCTTGTGTTGAAAAGAGTCGGCACAGAACCCATTGTGGTGTGTTGAAGAGAGATGAGCAGCTGTCTTGAGAGAAGGAGAAAAGACGGAACTGTGTGACCACAAAGACGACTATTTATAAGCGAACAGAAACGGGCGTTCATACACAACACGTCCGCTTCCGTTCCTCATGAAGAGGGACCGTTCCGTCCCCTCGGAAAAAGCTCCGGAAAATGAAGAGTTAAGAGCCCCCACAAAGCCAACTGTTTATTTCTGCGGCTAGCAGGCTAGCTCTTCGGCTAGATGTGTGTAACCGAGCTGGAAACTGGAAGTCCGTGAGGAGTCGTCGAGCTCTGGAGAAACAGCTTTTCTGTAAAGAGATAAAGGTTGGCTGAGATTTTTTTTTTTTCTAAATGCACCGTTCGCTCGGATCGAAAGTAGGCGCAACTTTGAAGAATGATACCCGCTGAGCTCTGACCATTTCACTACTACTTCACAGTCAGGGGGAGTGGAGAAGTCTGACAGGTTTGTTTCATTGTTTCTTCTCGTTTGCTCCTATCGCTGCATCACATGTGAGGTGGCTTATCTTGAATTTCTGGAGTCTGCTTCTTGGATCCCAGACTTCCTCAGTTTCTGAAGGCAGAGAAACTCCTTTGTGTTTCTCAGCGCTTCGGTGATACTTCGAGCGTCGTTGTTGGGATTTCAGAGATCATTGATGTATGAGAGAAAACACCGCGTGGTCACTACAAGGCGACACGATCAGTCTGCGTCATACATTTTAGATAGTCCGACCTTTTCATTCATTTTCCTAATTCAGTTGTTTCGAATACAGATTTGTGCACCCAATGTAAAGTTATCTTGTAATTACCAAAAAGTCAGATCACAATAAAGCGTCATCGTTGAGAATTTATTATCCAACTTGACAGATCCTATTTTAGGCAATGTCATTAATGCATACAGAGAAAAATAAAATAAAAATAAAGGGAGGGTAAAAAAAGAACATGTTGGTAGTTCAGACTAACCCAAATAAACTGCCTCAACTTGACATGAGTGTTATTAAATTGTATCATCCTATTTATTTAAAAGTAATGATATTAACAGTATTTGCAAATTCACTCCAGACTTTTCTTTTGTCTACAAATCTGGTGTTGCATACACACAGAACCCCACACTATCAGATCCTCCCTAAAAGTGAAAATTACCCATGATCAAATGCAATCCTTCACTAAACCAGTAAGTCGTGCAGCTAAACAGATCACCATAATTACATTTAATCATATGCACTTTGTCTTACTTTAATTATGCTCTCATGGTGCGTAGTTAAGGTAACAAACTCAGTCATGGTGTCAGTCTTTGGTTTATATCAAATGTACATAACTATAAATGACAATGATAGTTGGCCGTCACCAATATCAACAGGTTCTTACATGGGGTTAATGTGTTAAATAATACTATCTAATTCATGGTCAGACATAAAGACCCAGACTAGATCAAGAAAAGCCTGATTGCTGCCCTTATATCTCTAATTTTCTGTAAAGTCTGACCCACTGATTAATGCTGCAGGCTGTCACATAGGTTTAGTTCTTACGAAGCCGAAAGAAAATGAAGGAATTAAAATATTAGTCCCAGTAAATGTATGCATAAGAACATATGTCCCTGACCTTTATCAGGTTTTTTTTTAGGTACATCAGAGCCCATGCTTTTTTTTGATGCATTTCATAAACTGGAAATGGTGCACATTCTTTGTTTTGATGCGTTTAAGGAATAGAAAATCCAGTAAATTTTCAGTATTTGACTTGCTGATCAAGGCTGATTCTAATCCCTTACTGGTGTATCTCTATTTAAGACATGAAGAATTTAGATTTAAAGACACTGACCAAGGTGCGCGGCGGTGGCGCAGGGGTACGGTGGGCAACGCATGAGCGGAGGCTACAGACCTTGACGCAGCTGCCACGGGTTCGAGTCCCGGCCCGTTGACCTTTGCTGCATGTCTGCCCCTCTCTCTCTCCACCCCATTTCCTGTCAGTCAGCTTACAAACTAAAGTCCTCTAGTGCCATGAGAAACTATGAGAACTCATACAGTAATATAACTGTTATATGACTATATGCTGAAAGAAGGGGTTAAAGTTCATCAACCTACGCACTTACCTGCATAGTTGAAAAACAACGGGTTGAGTTGATTTTTTTTTTAGGTCCTAAATATTGATCTTAAAACGTTTTACATTTAAGGAAGTTATTGAGGTGTAGCTTTTAGAAATCATTATTTAAATTTAAATCCTACACAAGTAAGAAAATAATTTCTTATGCAGGGTTTCCAATGTTGTGCCCTTGATTCATTGAAGATTTTCTACTGGTGGTTGATTTGAATGCTTCTGATTACTCAGCAGGCAGGGGTGGTTTTGTAATTGTTGCTTAACAATTGCCTAGTGGCCATGTATTTTTAACAAGCACACCCGACATAGGTACAAGTCTAGAAATGCCACGTAATCAGGTAATTGTTTCCAAACAATTCCCTCAAACTAGTGTTGCTGAACCTGATGTGTTTCCTCTTGCCTACTGCGTGGATTGAAACTGACGGCTCTTCACAATCCAGCGGAGGGAGGGAGGTTGTGAAAACATGCTGTCGAATAGATCAAACAAAACAAACACCGGTTTTGGAACCCAAACCTGTCTGTGATTGGGATTTTTGTTGCAGAGCATAAACTATTGATATTCCCATAAAACCCTCTGCTCTTTCACTTGAAGAGGGGATGAATAGACTAAGGTTCATTAAAGCGATGCGGTTAGTTGGCGCTGATGTTCTCTGGATTTAAGTTTTCAGAAAGTGCGAGAATGATGCTTTAGGTCGCGTCTAACTGTCCCACATACTTGCTGTCCTGTGGCAAAATGGCTGTTGCAGAAAAAAAAAAATGTTTTTGTGATCAAACATTATCGACTCGCCCCATCAATAACCTGGGCTACAGTCGTTTGTTTCCACAGTAGGAAGCGCATAGTCCAGTGCAACCAGGGGGGTTGGGGAGTAGGCCTTTTCCTGAGCTTTGGTTAGGGCTTTGTGATAATACTGGCAGCCTTCCGAGCAGACATTAGTGCGTTTGTGTGTGCGTCCTGTCAGATAGGGGAGAACAGCCACTCTGACCTCAGTCATTTCAGTCCAGGAACAATAACTCAAAGTTTCTCATTTTGCTAGATTTTAATTAGATGCATATTTTTGCTTTATTTCACTGAATCCTCATAATTCCAGTGTGCACCCACGTTTTGCATTTCCAGAAGAATTAATCAAGCATGTTCCTATGTGGCTTGACTTCATTATATTGTAATGAAGCTTACCCCCAGGTGCCACGAACGAAACCACTTCCCCTCAAATGTCTGCTTTCCCTTGTACTCTATTATCTGAAACCAGTTTTACACAAAGAACTGGGAAAAATAGATGAAAATTCCCATTTTAACCTCCCTCTGTCTTATCAGTTATTCCTTCAAAATGTAAGTTTAATGCAAAACGAAATATTAGATCACCACTGTGTCGACCTTTGTCACTCTGTTTTAAGCCTACGCAGAGCCTGTTGCTTTATCTTGTGCCTTTTTCTGTCCCAGTAATGAGCCATTTTGCAGCTCTTAACATCTGCCAAGCTTGGAACGTTCTGCATGCGAGACTCATCTCCAATGCATGAGGAGTCAGGCACCCTTTTGATTTGCCCTCTTTTCTTCCGAAGTGCTCACCGATTTACTTTGCAGAATCAGCATGCTGACAAACTTTATTTCTTTTTTCCAAATTTGGTGGAGGTTTTTATTTATTTATTTATTTATTTATTGCTGTAAGGTAAATTTGTCTTTGTTCTAAACCATGTGCTCCTCTTGATTTTGTGCCTCCCTCTTTATCTCAGAGTCACTGTGGATGAGCAATAGTGTGTGGGTGATTAATTAGAAGCACAAGTTTCTCTGTGGGCACGGTTAGGTTTGTCTAAAAAGAAAACACAGCTGTAAATGTTAATGCCTTTGTATGCCAGTGTGTTGCATCCGTGCTTGAATACAAAACATCTGGCTTTCTTCTTTACCCTTGAGTTGACCTCGAGTTGGTAACCTTGCTCCTTGAGCGCCTTGCGGTATGCTTTTAACTCTGCAGATGTTGTCTAATAAGTCTCGTCCATTGGGTGATACAGCTCTATATTTATTGGGGCCCTAATAAAATGCCTTAAAATAATCTTATGTTAGAATAGTTCTGCAAAAATTCAAGCTTTAACGTGGGTATATATTTTTTTTTCATTGGGGGGAAATTCTTGTTAAGCAACATAAACATGATGTGACACATGGGCTGCGTGATATTAGGAAATCATGCAGCGGAGATCATTGTTAAATATTTGGACGATGATAGTTGAAACAAATCTACATTTTCCTTCTCTTTTTCGTCTATCATCGCAATGCTTCGAACTTTCTCTGTGACCTTTATCATCTTGAGCGCCATCATCCGTGTCGGATGTGAACATTTGTTATGAGACTCCCCAACAGGCTGAATATGTTACCTGCATGTCAAGTGTTAATTCCTGACTCTTGGAATATATTAACCCCAATCCAAACAGTTCTTTGTGATATTATATTATTATTACACACTTATATTGCAATTATGATAGGCCTTTGTTTGTCTGTACAAGGTTTGTTTCTGTTGCCCACTCTTCAAAACAGGAAAGACAAGAAAACATGGCATTCAAGTAATGTTGTTGTGTGTTAACCCTATTAGGTCAGGAAATGGTTGCTCCTCTAAACTTGCCTGAATCACTCTGCGCAATGTTTACAAAGTTATTACCTGAAACTGTGACAAACAAGGCTAGGGAGGTAGAATAAAGCAAAAAAAAACAGGGATTATGTCATTGCAATAAAATATTGTTTTTTTTAAGGCTTTTTTGTTTGTTTCTCAATATGCACAGATCAGAATTTTGTTGCCAGTTTGCAAAAGCTTTGATCTTCCAATATTGATTTTAGCCATTTCTGATTTCCCTTTGAGAGCTATAATATAAGAGGTAGGAACAGCATTCAAAATGTTTTGCCTTCCTGGCATATGCATCCATTCATTATTTGTGCTATAAGGGGACATCATCTCACTGAGAGAACAGTCAGTGTTAGTTGAGGTTTTGGTGATGGTGTTGTTTTTTAATAAAGACAAAATGACTGGAGTTTATATTTTAAGCTGTTTTAGCATCTTAGGTGGCTAGTGCAGCTAGCACCTCTGTGTGTGTATTCCCTTCAGCAATTTTTTCCCTTAACTCTAAGATTTCCAAACGCTCGCAACACTTCCAGTTCTGTGTTTTATGACATATTAGAAATTATGAATGATGAAACGGCTACTTTGATGTACTCTGTTCAGCCTTCCTGTTAACTGTTAAAACTCTTGCACTCACTGTAGCAGACTGAATGAACCGCAGACACATTTTAACATGCTTTAGAAAATGTTGTCAACACCCGGTAGAGCTCATGTATGGTGCATTCACCAGTAGGAAAAAGATTGGAGTCCTGAGTTCCCTACCAGCCGGTCACCTGTCAAGGCTGATTGAGCTGAAAATTGCCAATTTCTCTTTGTGTTTTTTTTTTTTTTTTTTTTCAAAGGTTGCTGTAAATAGCTGGAGACGGTGAGTAAAATAAATGAATGGTTTTGCTGGTGTGAAAATTTCACTCAAAGGGAAAATATTTGAGGAAAAAATATCCCAGTCTTATATCACCACATTATCCTATTAATTAATTAAATGACTGATTTAATCTTGATTTAAACTTCAGCACCCGCCTGCTACAGGAAATATTTTTAATCTATTCTCGGTTGATAAATTTTCTGCCGAATATTGCCAGAAGTATAGGATCAAAGATGAGCCATATGTTAGATTCATAAACGTAATAGGCAATATATTAAGCGTGTTATCACCTCGCGTCTCTTTTGGAGGGGTAGATTAACCCATCACTTGAACAATTTGTGCACTTTATCAAGTTTGATACATAAGCTTCTTTCTATTAATCTGGTGGCAACAAAACATGTATTTCATGTGTGAATTTCCCTATTAGTGTTTTTGGGGGGTGGTTTGAAGCATTTTGTGAGGGCCGGGTCTACAACAAAGCTCGTATCCTTTTCAGTGTCACAGTAGTCGATGTTACAGATGTGCACAACAACAGTGAGTTGACTCAGCTGTTGATTCAGTCAAATCACTGCTTTACTCTGTCATTTTTTTCCCTCACATGTGCCAAATGAATGAGAGAAAAACCATGTATCTACAGTGCAGATCTGCGTCTGCAGTCATGCAACTAACAATTGTCGCTGTTGTAACAAAGTGCTGGCTTTTTGTTAGCTTGAAAACCAATGTTAATGTGAAAATGAGGAAACTGTGTGCAGACAGCATCTTCAGGTATAGTGAAATATTATGCTTTAAGTAAGGTGACAGCATTGTCGTAGTAGTGCCATTAAACGCTAAGAAGAGTAGATAACAACTATAAAGTAAGTTTCATTTTGTAGAAAATACGCAATGAAACAACTTTTGAGTTTCTCTTGTCTGGAGGTTATCCAAGTAGAGTCCTTGTTTAGATAATTGGGGGACCACATTGTACGTAGGAGAGGAGCAGCTACTGTCTTATCTCTTGAAGCCCAGGCAGCAGAGAGACTTGCTTAAGGTATCAATGGTGACTCCTTTTGAAAGCAATGTCTATCCACCTGTCTACGTTCCTTTACGGTAGCGTCACAGTAGCCCCAGACCATCACACTACCACCGCCCTGTTTGCCTGGTGGTACGGTGTGATTTTCTTTAAATTCTACTAGTTTTACAGTTGATGTAACGGTATACACAACATCCAAAAAGTTCCACTTCTGCTTCGTCGATCCACAGAATATTTTCCCAAAAGTCTTTGGGATCATCCAGGTGTTTTTTTTTGGGGGGGGGAATCTTAGATGTTCCTGGTCAGCAGTGGTCTTGGAATCTGACACAGATGCCATTTTTGGCCAGACCCTACTTTTAGGAGT